TAAATTACAAGATTAGAGACACAGAATTCCTATAGCATGCTTCTTTTACAGTGGTTGCATTCCTCCAAGTATGAAAGCAAATTACGTATTTGGGTCTCAATGCCATCGGTTATGTACTCTTTTAACACATCACCTCAAGAGTTTTCAGGCTCTGCTTGCCACATGTAAAACATGTGGAGAGTGATATCAGAACAGCCTGATGATTTTGAAGTATGGAGCACCTACTTGACAATCTCCTGGATGTATCTGAAAGAAGCATTTGCCATCAATTCCCAAGAAAAAGTGAAGTAATGTCTAGGTCAATATCTCTTAATGACCCTTTCTTTCCTATCTAGTTGGGACAAATGTTGAATTACAAAATACACATATATGGTTATAATTGAACAGGTGTCTAGCAACTGTCCTGGAAACTTAATTACCTGACATTTTTCATCAATTTCTCATATATTAGAACATGAAATGTCAGACACTATTAATTGCATTTTTACAATAAGTAGTTACAGCAGGAATAATGGCTAAATGAAAGTACTTCCTGTCTAATGCACAATGGATATATTCGTTTAAATGTATTCAATTTAGATGAATGCAATATGTCTATATTTATTACAGTTATACATATCTGTGGGCTGAATTGATGGGGCGGTAATTACTGCCTTTATAAATGGGATAGTATTGTAGGTCTAGAGGAAGAAAACTCATTTTCTCATATTTTGCACACCCACATAGCTAACACATTCCAAAATGTTCTTTCTTTCAAGTATAGAAATTTTACCCTTGAATAGCCAGTGAATCAAATAATTGTAAATATTATCTGGCAGTGGGCCCTGATTTTCTGGAGGTCTATTTCTTTGGGGAGTCCTGTTGTGGCATTGTAGGGTAAGCACTGGACCACAAGGTTGGTTTGAACCCCAAGGTCAGCGGTTCAAACTCACCAGTATCTCCTCAGAAACTCTACTCAGAGTTGCTATGAGTGACCCGACTCGGCTGCACTTAACAACACCAACAACATTTCTACCTTGGAGTCCTGATTTGGTATTGTAGCATAAGCACTGGACCACAAAGTCAGCTTGAACCACAAGGTCGGAGGTTCAAACCCACTTGCCACTCCTTGGAAACCCTATACAGGGTCACTATGAGTTGGAACTAACTCAATGGCACTAAACAACAATATTTTTATCTTAAGCCCCAGTTGCATGGTGGATTACATGTTGGCACAAAGTTGGCAGTTTAAACCTACCAGCTGCTCTGCAGGAGAAACGGGAAGCTATCTGCTCTGTAAAGATTTACAGCCTCAGAAACTCTTGATAGGGTTGCTATGAGTCAGAATCAACTCAGTGGCAGTGGGAGATTTATGTCTTAATGGAAGTGATCAGGGGAACTCAGAGTCTTAACATTGCTCTATGTCAACGAGCCATCGTTTTAATTATTTAGGACATCACGAGATCAATTATTGCCATAGAATAGCTTGGATTAGATTATTATTTTTTTTCATGTTTTATTGTGAACTATGTCATAGTTTACATGGGGGAACATTAGCTTTACATTCATCCTATCGTATATTGTTTCACTGCCATGGTTAAAATCCCTTCCATGCATCATCAATCAACCAAAGGGTATATCCTGCAAGCCTGCCCCCCGGTCATCAGCACACAGCCCCTCTCCCTCTCTGGGTCTAGAGTCCCCAGCCGCTCCATCTCTCCATGTCATTGTCTCTGCCTCCATTAGATTATTTTTAAGCACAAAATTTTTTCAGAATTTCCAATATGCTTATCTTTTACATAATAAATAATACGGGTAAGAGTGAGAAAAATCCAAAGGCATTCATTCCTTCACTCACTTTACTTATTCAATCATGCATTTATTCATTAATGGTCAATTGTTAGATATGAACTGTACACTAAAGACTGATCTTGAATACGTTCAACAACTTCCCTTATACAAGGAAATCTAGAAACCACCTCATGCACCCTTTTTTTCTTTTCCACATAAGCACGTTGCCAGGTTCAGTGGTGAGAGCTAGATTGTTCACTATTGTGTTCCAGAAGTTTCATTAGTTCACATCTGTTTTCTTGTTTCACTGACTGCTAAACAACTCTGCAAACCAATCCATGACCTTTATAAATGTGTACAATGCAGTACCTGTATCTGATTGATAAGCAATCCTGAAACTATGTCCACGCCTATTTTACTTTCATGGCAGACAAGCATAATTAAGCAATAAAACAACAGCTGCTGTTGTGATTATCTTAGCTTGCACCTGGGACTTTCTTATTCCCTTTCTTAAAGGTTTTTCTGGTAGAAGAACTATATACTAATTTATGCTGAAGAAGAGGAATTGGTGGTACAGAATGCTGATGAACTCTGGTTCTAATGGATATATATGTATGTGTTTGTCAAAAATAGTCACTGTTCAAATGCAACAAATCGGGAAGCTTTTCCAAAATAAACTATTGCATAAGCAAACTTTAAATAGTTAATTATTTGCTTCATGAACAGCGATGTAATGAACACTCTGGTGTCTTGCCAGTAAATCAGAAATTTGTCATTCTTTTTTTGAAATGATGCCAAGTTGTCCCCAAAGTATGATACACAAAGAAAACTCTGCACATTTAATGTGGTTCTTTTATTGTGGATATCTTGAATGAATCATTAATAAAATCAGGCAGTAGCTGACATAACATCTACCTGGGCATTTTTGGAATGGTCTAGATTTGGTTGTGTCCTGTTCCAAGTCTAGAAAACTGGTGCTTGCTTCACAATAAAGTAGAAGGAAAATGCAGATTATGGTGTGACAACAGGTCATCAGAAGTTAAAGTCCATCATTCTGGTGGTTAATCTGTGTGTAACGGCCATTCTCCTCTGAAATTAAAAAATATATATATATATTAATAATTATTCTAAAATTCTAGTTTATTTCACCATCACTCCAATATTTTAATTTTCTATAAAATGACTAACATGGTCAGAGTTAGACAGTCTTACTTATGTATATAATGGGAAAGAGAGGGAAGGTACGGAGGAAGGCAGGAGTAAAAAAGCCTCTCTGAAGGAAGTTTTGCATTGCCCAAACTATTACACACCCATGGCTATGGAGTTGAATCCAACTCATAATGTCTCTATAGGGCAGAATGGAACTGCTTCATAGGGTTTCTGAGGCTTTGAACTTTACAGAAGACAACTTCATCTTTCTTTTATGGAGCAGCTGGTGGGTTTGAACAGCTGACCTTGTGGTTAGCAGCCCAATGCAGTCTATGACTATCCTGGTGCAAACAGAACCATCAAATGATTACTTCAATGTTTACTCAGTGTGTCCTCAGACAGACCTTTGACAGTGTTTTGGATGACTGGATTCTCATATTAGGGGGTCCCCTGGATCCTTGCAATTCCAGCCTGATGGCTCTGCCTTCAATTTCTCTTTTATTAAAGAATTTAAAGCTTCTTTAGCATCTTCACAGAAGTAAATTTTATAAAAGCATACCCTCTAGATTTGCCATTCTGGTTCTGAGGCACCTTAATAGCAGTTGCCTTCAAACACTTCCTGGAGAGTTTCTTCTGTTGCATTGTAGGAGAGGTTACTTGAAACCAGTGTTTTTGATTCACCACTCTAGGTGCTGGTCTTCCCACCACTGTGGTCTTGATTTTGACCTTTCCCCCCAGTGTATAGGATATAGAACGGCCATCAATCTCTGTTCCTTGCTTGCCTTCAAAGGTTTTCTCAGCATCAGCTTCTGTTTTGAATTCGAAATAAACTATCCCTTTAGTCTTTCCATCTTTGCTAACTAATCTGATCTCCATGGCATCTTCAAACACTTCTTTTAATTCATCCTAAGTGACTTTATAAGGGTAATTTTTGGTCAAAAGTGTTCTGGCATCTTGGTCTTTCTTACTGTCTTTTTCCTTTGGTCTTTCTAGTTTAATTTCATTACCAAAGACCTTTAAACCAATGAGTTCCAGGGCTTTTTCCAGGTCTTCAGAAGATCCAAAATACACATAGCCAAATTTCCTAGTCCTACCAATTCTGATATCCATGACAACAAGATCATTTATAGCAAAAAGTTCACTGAGACCAGTTTGAATTCTGGAGCAGGCTTGTTACAATTCAGGTTTCCAACAAATAGACTGAAAGCTGTAGTTGGTTCTACGGCTTCCCCCTTCTGCTTCTTGGCTTCAGGAGCAGCTTTCTGCTTGGCCATTTCCTTCTTTCATTTTCCAGGTACTTCTTTGACAGGTTCTTCCTCCTCTTCTTCATTGTCCTCATCATCTACCTCCTCATGGTCCTCTTCCTCCTCCTCCTCCTCATCTTCCTCATCGTCGTCCTCAGCCACTCTTGGCTTTCATAGGAACCACCTTGGCAGGAGCTTTCCTGCCGTTTGCCAGCATAGTGTCCATGGCCTCTTCTTCAGAGTCATCTTCTTCATCCTCCTCGTTCTCCTCCACATCCTCTTTATCGTCCTCATCTTCATCATCATCCTCATCATTGAAGTAAGGGGCAGCTTCTCCTTTCATCATGATGGACTCAAATTCATCCTCATCCTATTATCTTCCTCACTGTCTTCATCATCTTTCTCGTCTCTCTCTTCCTTCTTAGCATTCTTGCCATTCTTTGCCCTCTTGGCTGGAGGAGCAGCTCCCTTCTTACCGGAGGTCACCACCACTGCTTTACCTGGGGTGGCCCTCTTCTTGCCAGGTGTTGCTGCTGCTTTGGCTGCTGTAACTGTCTTCTTAACTGGTGTGGTGGCTCCCTTCTTGCCAGGGGTGACAGCTGCTTTCTTGGCAGGTGTGGCAACAACTTTTTTTGTAGGGGAAACCACCACCTTCTTTGATGGCAGTGTGGTGTTCTTTTTGCCTTGTTTTCTGAGGAATGACAACTCTTCACTGCTTTCTTCTTCATCATCATCTTCTGACAGCTCCTCATCGTCACTGTCTTCTTCTACCTCCTTGGGGGAAGAGCCAGCTTCTTGGAATCACTTTGATTTTTCTCGGCTTTCGTGAGCTTTACCATGGTGGCGGCTGGGGATGGTGGAGTACGTTGAGGACGAGCAGCACTGAAGATAGTGCGGGAACCCACACCACGTTGTTGACGGCCACAGTGCTGAAGAAGCTGGAGTGCTCATGATTGACTACTAGCTAGAGTTAGAGACTCTGCCATGTATTTTCCTAGTGCCCATTTCTCAACTTCAAGAATTTTAGAGACTTTAAAAATTATAATTAGTCATTTCATTCTTCTGGACATTAAGGACTCTGTAAATTAGCAGAAGCATCCAAGACTTCTGTAGAATCTGGATAAAGGCGAAGTAATTGGGGAGGCCATGAGCAGGATGGGTAATAGCTGTGGAGTTAGGCCAATCTGAATTTTCAGAATTCAAGTTCTACACTTTACTGTTGAGTAATTTTCTACACGCTTTGTCTTTGTTATGGTTATTGTTAGACACTTTTGAGCCAATTCTGACTAACAGTGACAGTATGTACAACCGAATAAAACACTGATACATTCTGCACCATCATCATAATCATTGATATGCTTGAGCCTGTTGTTGTAGCTACTGGGTGGCAATTCATTTTGCTTAAAGTGTTCATCTTTTGCACTGACCCCTCTACTTAATCAACAGTGATATCCTTCTCCACGCACTGTTTGTTGTTGCTGTTGTTAGGTGCCATTGAGTCGGTACCGACTCATAACAACCCTATGCACAACAGAACAAAACACTGCCTGGCGCAGGGCCAACCTCACAATTGTTGCCACGCTTCTGCCCATTGATGTAGCCATTTTGCCAATCCATTTCACTGGGGGTCTTCCTCTTTTTCTCTGACTTACCAAACATGCTATCCTTCTCCAGTGATCGGTCTCTCCTGACAGTAAGTCCAAAGTTTGAGAGATGAAGTTTGGCCATCCTGGCCTCCAAGGAGCACTCTGGCTGCACTTCTTCTGACACAGAGCTGTTGGTTCTTTTGGCAGCCCATAACACATTTAATATTCTCCTCCAACACCATAACTCAAATGCATCAATTATTTTACTGTCTTCCTTATTTACTGTCCAGCTTTTGCATACATATGAGGTTATTGAAAATACCATGGCTTGGGTCAGGTGCACCTTAGTCCTCAAGCTGACATCTTTGCTCTTCAACACTTTAAAAAGGTCTTCTGCAGCAGATTTGCTCACTGCAATATATCGTTTGATTTCTTGACTGTTGCTTCCTTGAGTGTTGATAGTTGATCCAAGAAGAATGAAGTCCTTGACAACTTCAATCTTTTCTCCGTTGATAAGAATGTTGTGTGGTAAGGATTTTTGTTTTCCTTATATTGAAATGCAATCCATACTGAAGGCTGTGCTCTTTGATCTTCATCAGTAAATGTTTTAAGTCCTCTTCACTTTCAGCAAGCAAGGTTGTATCATCTGCATATTGCAGGTTGTTAGTGAGTATCTTTCCAATCCTGATGCCATGTTTTTCTTCATAGAACCGAGGTTCTCGGATTATTTGCTCAACATATAGCTTGAATAAGTATGGTGAAAGAATACAATCCTGTAGCACACCTTTTTTGGTTTTTTTCAAAAAGTTTTGTTGTGAATTGGTGATAGTTTATATGGGTGAACATCAGCTTTACATTCATATTATCGTATTTCATTTCATTGCAATGATTACAATCCCCTCCATAGATCATCATTCAACAGCATTTGCTCCCATTCCCTCTGTTGTTGTTTCTTGTTTTGTTTTGTTTTATGTACACAGAAGCACTCACGAATATACAACCATTTAAAAGAGCTCTGGTAGCATAGTGGTTACGAATCAGGCTGCGAACCGTAAGGTCAGCAGTTCAAAACTAACAGCGGTTCCACAGGAGAAAGATGAGGCGTTCTGCTCCCATAAAGATTAACAGTCTCGGAAACCCTGTGCAGGGTCTCTATGAGTTGGAACTGACTCCACGGCACATAACAACAACAACAAAACAACCAAAGGTCATACCCCAAAAGCCTGCCCCCCGGCCATTAGCACACAGACCCTCTATCTACCTTAGTCCAGGGTCCCCAGCTCCATCTCTTCATCTCTTTAAGTCATTGTCTCTGCCTCCCTTTCTGACATCACTGCTTCTCTGGATAGGGTCCCGCAATCTATTCTTCTCCCTTGATGGTCCCAGGGTTCTCTGCTCCTAGGCTGTAAGATCAACCATTCCCCTTCTTTTGTTACAAAATATCTACCTTTACATTTGCAATACTCACAATCAGTCCTGATAGCTATTATTCACTATTGAACCACAAGAGTTTTAAACTCATCTCCTTTCACCAGCCCTGTCCAGACAGGTTGGAAACCACTCAGTGGAGATTCTGCCTTCCCCTCACCCTCTGGATGTAAGCTCCCTCTTGAAAGCGTGTAAGCCAGTTACTTCATGCCTCTGTAGTCCTCCCATTTGGGTAGCCAATGTCTAAGTTGCACATTCCTGTCAACCCTGTATGCCGAGGGGGTGACCAGATAGTTAGTTGCCTTCCAAGTTTCTTAGGATAGATGAGTGAGTGCCTCCAGTGTTGCCTTACTTTCTCGAAAGATTTCAATTTTTATTCTTTCAATTCATGGTGCCTTGTTCTTTGCCAATTCCTTCAATGCACCTTGGACTTCTTCCTTTGGTATCATTGGCTCTTGATCATATGCTACCTCTTGAAATAGTTGAACATCAACCATTTCCTTTTGGTACAGTCACTCTGTGTATCCCTTCCAACTTCTTTTCATGCTTTCTGCATCATTCAATAATTTGTCCAGAGAATCATTCAATAACCAAAGTTGAGGCTTGAAATTTTTCTTTAGTTCCCCAAGCTTGAAAAATGCTGAGTGTGTTCTTTTCTTTTTGGTTTTCTGACTCCACATCTTTTCACATTTTGTTGGAATAGTTGACTTTGTCTTCTCGAGCTGACCTTTGACATTTTCTGTTCAGTTCTTGTACTTCCTCATTTCTTCCATTTGCTTTAGAATATCTATGCTGGAGAGCAAGTTTAAGTGTCTCTTCTGACATCCATTTTGACCTTTTCCTTCTTTCTTGTCTTCTTAATGACTTTTTGTTTTTTTCCTGTATGATGTTCTTGATGTCATCCCACACCTCTTCTGGTCTTCGGTCTTTAGTGTTTTATGTATCAATTCTGTTCTTCAGATGATCTCTCATACCTGCTGATAACTTGTAGAAAGTACATGGCATGAAATCTCACCATGCTAACTTCTAAGGAGCATTCTGGTTGTACTTTTTTCAACAGAGATTTTTTCCTTCTTCTGGAAGTCCATGATATATTCAATTTCCTTCATCAGCACCATAGAAGAAGAGCTCAAATTCTTCTTCGGTTTTCCTTATTCATTGTTCAACCTTTGCATGCATATGAGACAATTGCAAATACTATGGATCACTCACACCTTAATCCTCCAAGTGACATCTTTAAACACACATATATCTTAAAGAGGTATTTTGCAGCAAATTTGCCCAATGCAATATCTCATTTGATATCTTGACTGTGGCTTCTATAGGCATTGATTGTGGATGCATGTAAAATGAAAAGCTTTGAAAACTTCAATCTTTTCTCCATTTATGATTATGAAGCTAATTTATCCTTTTATAAAGATTCATGTTGAAGTATAATCTAAACTAAACTGTGTAGTCTTTGGTCTTCATCAATAAGTGCTTCAAGTTCTCTTGACTTTCAGCAAGAAAGGTTGTATCATCTGCATATCACAGGTTATTAATAAGGTTTCCTCCAATTCTGATACTGTGTTATTTTTATTATAGTCTAGCTTTTCAGATTATTTGCTCAGCATACAGATTTAGTAACTATGGTAAAAGATTACAACCCTGACACACATTTCTTCTGATTTAAAAACACACAGTTTCCCCTTGTTCTGTTTGAAAAACTGCCTCTTGGTCTATGTACAGGTTCCACATAAGCACAGTGTTCTGGACTCCTATTATTCACAACGCTATTCATAATTTATTATAATCCACACAGTTGAGTCCCTTTGCATAATCAATAGAACACAGGTAAACACATATATTGTATTTTCAGCTTCAGCCAAGATTTATCTGACATTAGCACTAATATTCCTCATCCCATTTTTTTCATTTGAATCTGACTTGACTCTCTGTGCCTCAAGTTCTATACCTTTACATGAGGAATTCTCGTTTGGCTCTGCATGATAATGCACTGGAATGAAAGGTCAGTTTGAACTTCAAGGTCCTTAGTCCAAACTCACCAGCTGCTCTTAAGAAACTCTATACAAGATTGCTATGAGTCAGAACCGACTCTATGGTACTTAGCAACAACAACAATAATAGAACATCCTCTATAGGGTTGTTGTGAAGATGAAGTGGGTTAAATAGAAAGTGCTTGGCACATTTTTGGTACACAGTGAAACTTAAGTGATGTCAGTGTGTGTAATAACCACTACAATAATCAAAATAATTGGGAAAAGCACACCTGTATTTCTAATTATATGCTTTACAATAATTGAAATACTTGCCATTCTGACAGATACACCTGTTATATGTATGGATATTAAACAATTTGTGTGAAAAAGAACATTTTCTATATTTCTAATTAAATGCTTTACTATAACCAAAATCCTTGCCACTGCACAGATAAACCTGTTATATGCATGGATATGAAACAGTTTATGTGAAAAGGAGCATTTTCTTTCCTTGCACTCAAAATATTAATTATGAAAATAACTGCTTACTAAAAAAATTATTACTGAAATAAAATATAAAATGCCCACTGGCATTTCCTAATGTTTAAAAACTGCTACTTAAGATAACTGTCATATTTGATTTTTAATTTTATTTCAACATTTTTATTAATTATTGGTAATGACTAACAAGAAGGTTTCTTTCATTTTCTATATTTTTTTCTCTTAAGTAAGCTTCCAAAGCCTTCGGGCAAACAGTGAAGGGAATTTTGAATAACTGGCAAATCAACGATAGTTATACTTCAAATCATCTTGTATGGCTACCATAGTGGTGGATGTGTGCCATCAAGTCAGTTTCGACTCATAGCAA